GTTATAATAAAAAAAAAAATAATAAAAAATAAAATAAAATATACATTTTCCAAGACGTGACGCGGAACGCGAAGAGAAAGATTTATTGTTATTGTTGTATTATTATTTTTTCTATATTTTCTCATCGTTCAAATCGAATCATATAGTAATAATACACTAACAAAACAAAAAACACTTTAAATCACTTTATACACTTCTATAGATTTATGCGTTTCCATACTTAATATACAAACTGCGTGTGACGGTTATGGTTTCTGTAAAACAGATCTCCGAAAAAAACCTAACAGTGAAAAAGTTGCAGACACCCTGCCAAAAAAGTCAGCCTATCAAAGTAGTGATATCTACGTTGTGACCAAGTCTCCTATTTCTTCAGTTCATAACCTCACTTGCTTAACACTTGGCCAGTTCCTAAATGTAACATGACCTTCTGACTGAGGCATTTAACATATTTTTATTCAGAGGGTATGATAATCATTTAAATTTTTAAATATTTTATAGTCGCTGTTTTACAACACTACATTACTATATTTATTTAGCCCTGATATTCAGAATTAAGAACGATTAGAACAGTGGTCAGAGATTGTTTTTAGCTTTGTCCAATGTTCCATATCAATTTGTATAATTTCGGGGTAACTGAATCCAAATTTGATATACATTTTAAAATGCACTCCTTATTTAAGGAGCGGGGGTGTGTTTTTTTAAAAACCATTTATCCTTGTAACATTTTTAAAGTGATTCAAGTATTTTATTAAACTGAGTTGCTGTACCACAAGTTGTGTGTAAGAGTAATTATGATTAATTAAAAAGTTAAGGTCAATATGTATTTATGTATGTAAAAATCCACTGAAAACACATTCGTTTTGAATTCGGTTTTATTTATAAACTTGTAATTTAAATCAGGGGACTATTTAGGGAACCGAAGCAACTAGGTATTGAAATTTTATACCCAACTACCGAGATAACCGAGTCTATTAATTTAGTGCAATCTGAAGTTTCCGTTTGTTTGTAAACTATGACAACGAAACGTAATTAATCACATTTTGCCAACGTCTTGTCAGCCAAAATAGTTTTGTTGTATGACTTATTTGTAATAATTATATCTATATTATGGTATTATTTTCATTGTTTCAATCTAAACACAGTACACGCCTCTGTGCAAATGTGATTAATCCTAATTATAACATATGGACGATTATTGAAATATTTTTTCATATTCTAATGCCATTATGTTGTTAGTCATTGTTTGCGGAATATGAAAAAAAATGTAACTACTTATTTTCGTTAAGTCAGCAAAATATATTAAATTGAGTATTTTGCTGGGCCGATTGATCCTGTGGGATAGTGCGTTATATAATAACAACAATGTTATTATTAATGTATAGGTTTAGGTTTATAACACTATAATTTATGTAGCATTAGAGGTTTTCGTGGTAGGGTAATCTTATATTTTCTGTATAGGTAAATCTTTCAGAGAAGAGTATGTTAAATAATATCGATGCATTTGCGCTTTACTACATTATGTGAAATTTCCTATTTTGATATTTTGATAAAATCAATGTATAAGTAAAAGCATAAGTACCAGTATTCGTCGAGTATTCAGCCGGATCAAAGTACATTTTAGGTACAGACATTATACTTACATTGATGAGAATTTGTTGGCTTGGAACACACAAGTTTCATCTCTGTGTTTCTCTCTAATTTATTTGTCTGTTTGCTTAATTTATTAATACATTTTTTTTTATATCAATAATATATTTCCTGCTAAAATGATGGCATCAAAACATTTTGACAATAAATTATATTAGCAATTATTATTATCGCTTAACACGGATGCAAGAAATTTCATGTCACCATTTTTGCGTTACACTTTCATTTTCAGTTAGAGACAAGAAATAAGAGACAAATTATAAATGATAAGAGATGAGAGATAAAATACAATAGATAAGTGATAATAGATAAGAGACAAGAGATGAGTGAACAAAATTTAGGGTTTAGCGATAAGAGACAAAAGATTAGTGATAAGAGATTACATATCCATGATAGAACAGGTGGTGGCCATATTATGATAATATATTTAAAGTGCTATAGGTTTACATACAGTGTTACCGTATTACTAATGATTAACTATTGTATACAGATTTTAATGGTTTAATTTGTTACGGTTTAATATGGTCGTACCTAATAAGTAAATAATATCACATATTAAATTATTCTTTTCGTGTTCTTACTATGCGGCCATCTAGTTTATTGTTTTCAACTAAAGGTTGCAGAAATGCCGACATTAAATTATAGTCGATTCCTATTAAAGTATGCATATGCTAGTATTGGCAATGGCCTCTCCTTATATTATTTACTCTAATGTTTTTCCATGGAGTGGAGAAAATAACCTGGGTTTTGCTGAAATATATCAACGTTATTGCTGTGGCTCGTGTTCGGCCATGACAAAACCATAGCAGGTGGTTTTTTTTCCAGTGGGTCTTACACAGAGCCCACAGCGGTTATCGTTTGAAAATACACTTGTGTAGACACCGTACACGCCGGCCATTTTGCCGGGAAAACCGATATTGCTATGAAATTGAACCGGGGAGATGAAGGGTGTACCTGCATCCAGTTTCACGGCGGTGGTTTGCCCCTGTGTAATCCGGCAACAAAAGGGTCTTCTTGGACACATAAGACGAACCACGCCGGGACGACTGATGACAAATGACCCCCGGGGGTATGATAGGCGTTTAATTAATTTTCATTACACCGGGCGACCCGGTTAACGGACGCTGTGCCGTTATTATTATAATTATTATAACAGGCAACTCGTCGAGAGCGGCTGAAAAACGAGGAAAAAAATATACCAATTTAAATTGCGACAACCCGGAACCACACGGATTTACCACAGAAAATCTCATAATAATATCATAATCTGCGCTTAAAAGTTTCCGAGAATAATATTGTACTCGTGTAATAAATCTAAACTTACCAGTGTTGGGTATTATCTAGATTGTGTCGTCTACGCAATACTAAATTTAACATAAAACTTTTAACATATAGGTTATTTTAGATAAAAAAATATATATATATATATATTTTTTTTTTTTTTAATTCATCTAGAATACCAATAACTAAAGAAATAAATTTCAATGTTTCAAATTTAGCGGTGTATTCACGTTTAATACTTAAACATGGATAATTATTCTTCAACCACCCTTTTTCCTAACAAAAAAATAATAATAACTCCATTATCATAGACAATCGGCTTAAATGTAGTCACTTATATGTTTAATTCATAAATATTAAATACTACTATAATTCCTACAATGTAAAAGGAATTACTATTCTTATACAATACATCTTTTAGAATTATCTAGGACCTAGACAATATTAAATCGTCTTACTATCTTTTAGGTATATACTTAATAAAAAAAACAACTACTGCTAGTTTGAGTTTGATATTATCTGGCTTCAATGATATCAAACTGATCCAGATAATCAATCTGGGTAGTATTTTATTTAATTATTCATACTAAATCCAACCCATAGAGTTATTACTGTATTATAACCTAACCTGACTTAACTTATCCTTAGTTGTATATGATGTATTCATATGCTGTCAAATTACTGAAATAATCGGTTCAATGGTATTGATCAGGTAAAACCTGATTGTGTGATGCTTTATTTTTAAAACGAATTTAAAGGAAACTCGTGATGGCAAATGGAAGAACGAGATCAATAGTAGTATTTTTAATTTAATATTGCTATGAACTATAAAATCTCTGTGAAATAACAATATGGTCGAACGAGAAACGCAGTATAATGTGAAAGGTTATTGATGTTTTATCGAATAGCCCAACAACAACGTAAACAACTTTACTGGTGTTATTGTTTTGTGCCTAAGGGATATTTTTTCCCCACTAGGAAGTGTATTTTTACTGAACTTCTCGAAACTACATTATTGCTTTACTTGATTATAATAAAATCCATTGAAAGAAAAATAATTCCATCACTGTCTTCCTTTCGTTTAACTTTGCAGAGGGAGTCTTTGTCTCTACAAGGGGAGGGTTGTCAAAATCTTCTATTTTCCATGAGAAGGGAAATAAGAAAGTAAACACTTCTATTTAGGAGAAATTTGCTCTTGGTCATATCGCTGGCATTCCAAGTGGTGAACCAGAATAATTTCTGAAGAGGGCATATTAGATGTCAAACTCTTATGTCGCCTATCGTCTGTTTGTTTAGGAAGTTGTCTAGCAAACAAAAACTAACGATAAACATTGTGATTCTGTAAACTATACGAAAGGGTTCCACCCCATCAACCTGACCCGTTTCTTATTGGGGGAATGCTATACGTAGGTAAAATATTATGAAGTTAACGAAAAGGCCAGCTGTGGCGTGACTACAATGACGAAATATCTGGGGTCCATATTTTTAATTTGTTTCACTTCTGCAACTGTGTGATACAAACCATCAGTTATATTATTATCACATAAAATTCAAATTTATCAATTGATCGGTAGGGTCGATAAGAATAATTATACAGCGCAGAGTTTAACAACAAATAAAATGAGTATTTATTTTTATTTAAAGTGATCACACTGTCTCTGGCCTTCTTGATCACTTTGTTGCCGGTGCCAGGACGTTTGATAGTGTTACCACAGAACAAACAGAAGGGAAACTATGTCAAGAGACAAAATCGTGTAGAGGAATTGTCATTTTTCGTTCATTCCGGCTAAACCACTGTATAGACTCATTTAAAAACGCTAAAACGGTTTTCCCAGCATGGTGGGATTAAAAAAGTGTATAATTTTCAAATGGCCAAGATAAATAACTCCATAGTGGAATTTTTCACCACGCGCTCTAAAGAAAATTGGCGATTGTACTTACATACATTGTTTCAAATGACTTTTTATCTGGCCGTCCTGAAAAATTTCATACTATGGAGTCAATCAGTTTGGCTTCTGAGCGCCTGAAATTATAATATTATGATTTTAATGTGTGGTTTGTATGTTCAACAGCTCGCCGCCGTTTGGAGGCTCGTCCAAGCCGGGGCACGCGGCCAGCGCTGACGACGTTTCGGCCTCGGGCAGTCATCTCGGCGCCTCGTCCACCGCCAGCGCCACGGACCATTTGCTCCACAAGGACATAGCCGCCGTCGCCCAGGGCGGTTGGAACGTGACCAAGTCCCTGATGAACGTCAAGTCCGATGACGACCACGTGAGTTTCACTCGCACGTGCACACGAGTACCGGGCTGGAAAAAGGTATGCTTGCTCGAAAATCAGACACTGTGTTTACCACGACCCCCTCCCCTCTCCTACCCCTCGTCAAACCGACTACCCTGTTTTTGAAAAATATTAGCCTTTTTCAGCATTTCGCCGTTGGTCACGTTACCGGCACTGGGAATCGGGTAAAACAAATAATACGAGACCGTGACGGTCTCCATCTCCTTTTTACTATGGCATATCTCAGACACCGTGCAAACGACACTCGGCTTGCTCGTTTGTAATTAAAAAAAAAATTAATTGCCTTATACCTGTGCATCAGTCATCACAAATGTCATTACAGGCGCCGGATAATGATAAAACGCGGCGGCTATCTTCTTAACGCCACATCACTATAATATGGTTATTTTGACATTTTATGTCTTTATACTTTGGCACACAGCCGGAAAAATCGACAGTTTTTTACCTAACGAACATTTCTGGTGATTTATCTGATAAGACAAGAGATAAGAGAGATAAGAGAAAAGAGAAATAAGAGCTAAGAGAGAGAGAGATAAGATAAAATGCCTCCCGTGGTTGTAAAGGGATGGGATTGGGGATGGGGATGGGGATAAAGAAAGTGAATAAAGAAAGTGACCAATGTTTTTCATGAAAAAACGACCTCATCCTTGACCTTTAATTGTGTATACATATAACATAACATAATACTAAATAGACTTTACAAAATAGCCGTCCGTTTTTTTGTTTACATTGAAAATGACTCTTCTGGTTTCACATTCTATTCCGTGGATGTAATAGAAAAACTTACGGATTTGTCCACTAGGTCGCACTGTTATTCACAGTGCACGGTGTCTTTAGACGCATAGTAAATATTCAATTAAACATCATATTCGTACATTTATTTTCCAATCACGTTTCTTGTTTATGCCTATTATAATATGATAACAATACAGGGTGATTCGTCCAGGTTAAGACACTCATTTTATCTTGAAACAATAGCGAATCAACCTGTATTTAGTGGCACACTTTTGAGCTTAATACAATTTTATAATATTTCTACACGCTGCGTAGATAGACTATATTGTTTTAAATTAATTGCTTGTCCCGAGAGACGAGGACTTTTGTGTATAAATAAATCTTATAAAATATTATTAAATTTCAATATCAATATTTATTCATATTTCAACTACTGCGATTTTAGGCTGAAAAAGGATCGGTTTGGTGAAATCAAACAAAATATTGTCCAAAACGTAGATACGTTTACAACTTAATTAAAAACAAAGTGGGTTGTCATTTTCAAAGACTGCCACAGGGCACAAGTTTACTCTTCACTACCGTACATACATAATAATAATTAATATACAAATAAAAATTATAAATAACGATAATCAAGCAATTCCAAAATATAAATACTTAATATTTGGTACAATTTTTTTTTTTGCGATTTCGAAGAAATTTTTACATGATATTGTTTATTTAATATTTATTTGATGTTTTGAAAATTATATATGTAAATATTGATAAACGTTGTAACAATTATTTTAGAATAGTTCGTTGGGAATTTTAATGTTTTATAATAGCAATATTATAGTATATTTTTTAAAATTTTAAATAAACAACCTGTTGAAATTCAACACACAATAGGCCTTATTTAAATGTATATCTGAAACTGATCTAATTAGTTAATACAAGCAAATTATGATTATTGAATTTTGTCAATTTTTTCGCTTTGTATTTTTTAATGTATTTTTTTTATCTTTTTAATATTTTTCTTTTCATATAACTCTATAAATTAACTAACGATTCGTCAATTATAAGAGTCTTACTTATAAATGCTATACTTATACTGATATCTTTGCACAACTCTAAATAATGATTTGTCACGCACATTGATTAGTTACCATACTTATTATACAAGTAGACGATACTACTGCACTACTTATTTCGGTCGCTATTATTAGATTATATTATCTAAATTGATCACCTGATATCTTGTTATGGTAATTGCTGAAACATTTTTGTATATTATTATATTTTATTACATTATAAGATTCGTCTAAAACGGTATGCCGCAAAATCAAGTTACCTATTTTGCAGTGTTTGTGAACACCGAACAACCTTCCCTGATTTTATTTGCAATTTTTTTTCGAGATCTACTGCCCGGATCCTTACCGGACGATAGGTTAGATCAGGTAAACATTAACGGACTGCATTGAAAACCAATTGAACTTTTTATATATTTTGTTAGTCGTATGCAAACAAAGCGTGGAAACACTTTACGGGTCGGTCCATCAACGCATTATATAAATATAGTGTGTACATATTTGATTTAGACATCCAATCAGGTTACGCAGGTAAGTTTTCAGATATCTCACAATTTTGTAATAATCTACATAGTATTTCAATAGCATTGTCTTCAAAAACTTTCCAACCTTTAGGTAAAACACCCTTAGGTGTTATTGTCTCTTTATTTCCTACAGTATTTGCCAAAACTAAATTACTGTTCAAGGCTTTTGGTAGATAATTTTATGGCAAAGTACGTTTGAAGACCCGAATCGGATTTAAACGTAACCCGGCGATTAGTCAACCTTTGTTAGAGGTTTATAAGTTATATCTGCATAATGAATAACGATGGTCAATGTATAATATTATTACTATGATGCAGTCGAGTACAAATAATTGGTTTTGTTCGAGACCTTCGACCGCGATTCCAAAACAGGTGACTAAGAGGCTTATTGTAGTAGCCCTTCTCCCGTTGGGTCTATTCATTATGTAAAGTCTAATGACCGCTTTAATCACTATCGTCCGATACCCACGACGGTCGTCGTCGCCAACAAGGACCTGTCTTGGGCATCCTAGTGTGGTCTCTTACTCTTCGGAATGTCTTAGATCTTGGTTTGTTCTTGTTTCGTGTGTTCCAGTGCTCTGGCTCTCTAAATGTAATGGGGCGACCATCTCGAAATGCTTAACGCCCTGGCTAAGGTTTTGCTGTATATCGTTTCTTCGTGACTGTACCAGTATATTTATATACTATGCGGTCTGTTGTCTATTATTTTGTCTATTGATTATTTCAGGACGGACTACGAATAATGTAACATGCTGTACACACGATCCGTCCAATTTGTGCGGGATTACCGTTTGTCAATTAGTAATCGAATTTCGATTTTCAGCTGATGTGGCACAACCCTTTTGTTCGGACAACCACCCCAGCCCTATCCCCTGTGAAAGTCAAGTCTGCCCACCCCTCCTGCCCCCGATTTCCCCTTATTACCTACCTGAAACGTTCGGTTAACCCGGCAAACCGTTTCAAACGTTTTAGCGGTGCATATTGTTGAAAACGGTGTATTAATGTATGTTTGAACGTGTGTAATTGCAGCACGACCGCTGTTCGTCCATGACTGAACTGAGCAAAGAGCCGCCGGCCATTCCATCCGAAAAGGTCGGTCAGATCAACTTTGGCCTTGAATACGACTACCAGCAGAACACTTTGATCTTGCGCATAATCGCGGTAAGTTTTAATAAAAAAAAAAAATATATATATATAATATAGTAATTTACATAAACATGTTAACTCCTGGTGTCTGTGGCAATCGACAACTTAGCCCTTCGTTAGTGAGTTGTTAGTTTTTTCCGCCTTCAGTGTGTTGGGGTTTAGTACACCCCATAAGTTACACTAACAACAAATCTTAAACAAATTTGAAAATAATGTTAAATATTTATACAACTTAATTTCATAACAACTTGTATGTATAGGATTAAGTTACTACTACAAAAAACAATTTTTAGTAAACATTTTTAATAGCAAATATTATTTTCGGTATTGAACTTTTAAATTAATTAATATAAAATTAAAAAAAAAAAAACACTTTGCTTAAAACATGTTATTTTTCAAAATAAAATAATTACTTTTAAGTTTAACCATTCGTCAGTAGAAAAATTTTTTTTTCAGTCATCTTCTTCACTTTTTAAGTCTTTGGTACCATAAAATATATAAATTGGTACATGAATAATGTGTTGAGGTTTGAAATACTGATATCACTCAGTTCAAAACACAACAACAGTAAAACATGTGGTTGTTTACCAAAACAGTTTTAAATCATAAAATAACATAGAAAGAAGGATTTCATGGAAAAGAAAATTTGATCTAGTTTGATAACTATTAGTATCACACAAAGTCTTATCACGTGGGTAAACCCCAACACACTAACAAAGGGTTAGGGACACGATCATAACCAATTTAGAAACCACCGATTATCCGTCATGGGTCTGTTGTTGGCCTCTCAACAGAAATAATGAAAACAGCTTTTTATTAAAAAAAAGTTCCACATTATCCCGTTGAATGTTTTACCAGTCCACAATTATTACATTTCATGGTTTGGCTGATGCACGTACAGATATTTTGTATCGAACGGTAATTAAACTGTTTAATAGTTTATGGTTCGACAAAAAATTTAGTAGGTTGGTCACACTGTTGCCGAAATAGGTAGTTAACATTTTGTTTTTCTTTTCGTCCCTCGGGGAATCACGTTACCGCGGTTTTCCCGGTGTATAAAAATAGTTTTTAAATTGCGTTTGGAAAAGGTACGGAAAATCGGTTGATTACAATCTCGAGGTATACGGAATATGATTATTATAATATAATAGTGTTTCCATTATGAGTACGAGGCGAGCAGAGAGCGGTAATTGCATTTCAAGCAATTGATTTTACAGGAAACCAAAAGAGGGTGTCCGCTCCAAGTAAGTGTGTTTGTCTTGGCCCGGTAAGTTGTTATAAAGGTTGTTATTAGTTTTTGTGCCGAAGACACACCGCGTTTATATTATGCGGTACGAGACATGTATTTTATTATGTCAACGACCCTTTTGGAAAACTCGGGGCTTACCCATACCTAGTGCTATGTTAGTTCACTGTTGGACTATAATATTGTTTTTATGTCCCCTGCTGGTTTCCCGAAATTCCTCCTAACCTCTTGTCCGGTCAAAATAGGTCGGTTAGGTCTACCGTCGCGGTCAAAGAAAATATACATCTAAATAAGTATTATTAAGTCAGCAGACCCACTAGTCTAGTCTATAATATCTAGTGGACCGGACAAGTATAAAAAATGGTACATAAATAAAAATTGTACTATCAAATCAGAAAAATTCCAACGGGGTTTCCCATGCAGCGAAGAAATAATATAATTTTAAAATGTCAAAAAGTATGTAAATGATTTTAAAATATTTCACTTGTAATGAAATCATTATGATAATCTTTTAGTAATATTCAAATAACATTTCGGTCATTATTACTTTTTTAAACATAATATCACCCGCCTAAGTATGACTTTTAAATATCAGCAATCTTTTTGATAACGTTCTGATGCCATTAATATTACTTATCTATGTAGGTAATATTTCATTGAAATAGCTTAATTTTTTTTTTTCAATAATTATCTACACGTATATGAACGTTATATTTTGACAGCTAATCAGATAATCAAAAAGCTACCTCCTTATGTTTTAATAAATAACAACATAATTTACAATAATTGTAATTTGTGAAATGTTGTAAAATATTTTTTTTAATCATTCCATACCATATTTTGTTTGTTAGCTTATGTCAGACTTTGGATAAACAAGTTTAGCCCAAACGTCTACGTAGAATATTTTGGAATTTAGTTGTTTGATTAAATCCAGTTCATTTGATTGCTTAAATAAGTATTGCTACTTTAAAATAATTCTCATATCGATTGTTAGAAACAAGGACGGTGTACTGTCTGGTCAACATGACTACATCGTCTAAGCTTAAGCCATACTAACCATAGCCAATGAGAACATAATACCACATGTATGTCTTAAGCCGATCGACATTGATATATTTTTGTAGAATTATAGTTTATATTTTTATTAATTGAGGACTTTGACTTATTGAGAACATTTGAAGTGCAGCTATAGTAAACGACTATTGTCCATTACTTTTGTACGAACAGGAAAATATATTATTATACTTTAATAACACACAAACTAAGTTTGTATGTCTTTGGGGTGGTTTAAAGTAAAAAATGTAAGACCTTTCTCATTATAGCGATTAACGAGCTGCTGTCCAATGAAAAATGTCGCACAACAGACGGGTTTTTTTTCCACGACGAGAAGAAAACTAATGGAAGCCATCGAGTGGTACAAGTCTTAATATTGTATTTTTTTATTTTTTTTATGTTAATCCGCTTTCCGGCTAATGTGAACCGCTCGTTAAATATGAAATTCTTATCGTTGCCCATAAAACGTCGACCGTAGAAATAGCTACCGTTTTAATCCGACCGTTCAAAAAAAAAAAAAAATGTTTATAATAGTTTGTATACAAGCCAGAAACGACCCATTGTGTACACATTTAACTGAATATAAAATATTTAAGTTAAGAAAAGTATACATACACCACACGAGTGTTGTATTCGTTGAAATGTCTAGCTAACTTTTTTGAATATTGTAATAGTTTCCAGTAAATTAAAATATCATAAATTTTAATTTATTTTTATAATAATAAATACATTCGAGTTGAAATGTTTTTTTAAATTATTATTACAACAGTGATAACGACCATCAGTTTAAAATGATCTAAGGTTTGGTTGGATATAACTTAGTTTTATTTAATCAATTTATGTTTTTTTCTCTCTAAATTAGTACATAATTAAAAGGAGAATGCAATCACATTGTAATAATAGTTGTAAAGGGTTTATAATCATTTTTTTTTCGGTGTGATGTTAATGTTTGGCATTGTTGTATCGCACAATTGCTATAATAAATTTAGGGGAAACAATATGCTTTGGGTGGGAAACCTTACTTTTCCCGTCACTTACGGTTAGCTGTTTAATTCGGCGTTGCCTTTGAACGGGCAGCATTCATTAGAATTGACATTTCCCAAACCGCAAGAATAATTGTAAACGATGGCAGCTTCGCTTCGTTCCACTGGCCCGGTGGACCGAGAGGAACCGTACAACGTTAATAATATAAATTAATTCATACATAATAGCATCAATTTGTCCTGTTGATTGACGACTGGCGAAAAAATAAAATTATATTCAAAGTTCACATCAATTTTTCAAATATAATTAAAACACATGGTTGAGTGTTGTTCGAGCTAAGGTTAGGTCTACCTTTTCCTTATATACCGTTAAACTTTATGTGTGTCCCGGTTGTATACAGAACACTGTGAACATTGTGTGGTGGCAGTTAATGGCTGTTGCACAAATCCTCGGATTGAATGCGTTTTTTATACTATTCCAATAACAATAAAGTATTGTTTTTTTTTATTCTAACCATAAAACCGCATTAACGGCGACGACAAGCAGCGTCGACAACGAGCTTCTCCCGTCTCATACAACGTTATGCTTACACGTTCTTCTTATTGATACAGACTTGTCGAAAAAGCCTATAGAAGTTCAGAGACACTTGCTCTCTTATATCGGTACATCATACCCGATGCTTCCAGGAATAGACTTGTGTTATTGATGAGATGACATAAATACTCTGCTCTCGAGCTAGACCTTTTTGCCCTTATGGTTTTTGGCAAATCCTTGCAAAATCGTCCTGAATATGTCCTTAATCGGTTGCTATTCGATCCAAAGCAGTTGTAAGTAGATTTTGTGATTGGGAGAGAGGTCATGCGCAGTCAGGGTGGGGGGGGGGGGTGCGCTATACACTGTAGATTTATCTATACATCCGAGACTTGTTTGTGTTTAACGAACCCCATTGACTCGATGCGCTCTGCTCGTGTGCTAATAGAATTATTTTACATCAGACCGTCTGACGTACACGGAACGGTGTTGTAAATTACTATATTTATTACATCATTTTCCGCCGTCTTCGTGCTCGTACAAATAATAATATGATTATGTTGCCAAAAGCCGACGTGGGTTCTTGTGCGAGACGATAATAAAGTTTATTATCGTTTTGAAGTTTCCAAATTAACGGCACATTCAATTGGCGAGCTCCGAAACAAAACCGTTGACTTCCGTTTGGCCGGAACTCTTCCATTGCTTTCATCAATCAAACCGTTTATTTCCCAGTAGACACGGTTATACTTAGTAAAATCGAAGAGAAAATGATTGTCGGTTTTTGTTGAATCCACCCTTTGCCCGCGACTGCCTTACAGAATAAGAATTTCAGAAAATTCGAAAGACAGTGTTTCATTCTATTTGAAATATTTCAAACTTGAAATTTTAATCCTACTTGAAAAATGGAAAATACATTTTTTTAAAAATATTTATTGGTTTTGTTTTCATTGACTACGTTATGTGACTCTATGGTCACCTTGAGTACATATGATCATTTCGTTTTGTTTCAGTTTATAACTTAAATGAAAAAACAGCCTAAAATGTACGGGAATAAAATAAATACTATTTGATTTCACAATATGATTTGATTTGTCTGGTTAAAATATACTTAAGGGGGGGTATAGTTAATTCGTGCAAAAAACGGCAAATTTTTTTGATGACACAGTTAAAATCTGCTTATTAAAACTAATGGTACATTAAA